AATGACAGGTTCTGTCACACCAATAAGAAATGTTTCTGCTAGCAGAAAATGTGTGTGTGTTACATAATGATGTATAAAACCATGCCATACTTTAGCATACATTGCAGACAAGAAGCTAAGGATGACATGATTTGTTCGTAGCCTTTAAAATTAATATTAATTTGCTGCTTGTACATTTATTTCCTAATTGTTCTTATGTTTGCTTTGTCATATGCTAGCTCCATTAGCAGAAAAGTATCTAGAGGCAGCAAAGATTTTATGGGACAGAAATTTGGAAAATAAACGTAAATTTGAGATAATTCTGTTCATTTAATAGGGGGTGTAGGGAGAGGAGGTGGGAGGGAAGGAGAGAGAGAGAGAAAAGGGAAAATTCTGCTAATTCAGTTTTATTGGTAGAAAATCTAGCTTCATTTGCTAATAAGCAGCATCGTCCATTGGGATTTTCTGAGCTGTTGGTTTAGAACACTACCTACTCCAGGCAGTAGCGGGGATCTCTTAGCACCAGCGTTACTAAATACAAGTAGTTAGGAGCACAGATGAGAGCTCGTTTTCTTCTTGGGTAACTTAGATGAATGGCTTGACTCTGCCATTTGATTTTATTGCAACCCAGATCTGTTTTCTTCTCTAAAGTATGTGTTAAATAAGGCAGCATAAAGTATCAGAAGGTACCATACATTTTTATTAACATAACTCCTATTGGTTTTATTAACATTAAGAGTAAGAAGGAACCTTTGTCATGGTATAATTTCCTAGTGAAGCTGGACATTCCATTCCTTGTAGACTGACTATTTAAAGAAGATTTTTTTTTCTTTTCAAGACAGAGTCTCACTATGCATTTCAGGCTGTGCTTCAACTAAAAGAATTTTTTTTGTCTCATTGCAACTGTTGTTATTTCCAATTTTACCCTTTGGTACAGAACATAAGTATAGTCATAATATGGTAGCATACAAAATATATCAGTCTTTTAGGTACCTTTTTAAAAACAACTTAAAAATTATTTTTTTCAGCTGTTTTCTTGCTGTAGTGTTCAAATTAAAACCAAAAAGAAACAAGTTCACAAATTAAAAAAAAGTAAGCCATATTGTCACTAGGTCAAAACAGCCATACCCACCACGTTGTGATGCAGTGCACTGCTTGCTGAGCAGAGCATGTCTACACATTCTCACCTTGTACTTTTAGGAAACATTCAGGGAGATATCTGGCTTCACAAAACGAAGCTTCTGGTTACTACATTAATATTTTATATAGTGTATACACCAGAGGGGTAGACTTCCGGGTAGAATCTGTCAGAATGCTCTTGGTGTTCTTGTCATTAAAAACACTCAGTGTATACCTGCAGAGACTAGCTTCTCATGCTTTTAAGGCAGCCCTGTCATCATCCATTTTCCTTTAGATAAAAATTTATGGCTCATTCAGTCTACCATGTTTCTTACCTCCTTGGTGAAGACCAAGTTGTGTATTTCTGTGTGGCACTGTACTGCCCACAGTTTTTCTGGGAGGTTCGTAGTAGAGAGAGGTAGAGTGATTGCTTTTGAGACGATGTGTAGTTAGGGCACAAAGCCTGGCTCATCACTGTGGATGTGTTGGTCCCTCCTTACCCGCATCCTTGCTTTTCTATTTAGGTAATTGTTAGAAGTAAAGTTAGAACCTTTGGACAGCACAATTAAGGGAAATTATTCCCAAATGACATTGTCTGATTTGATAAGCATATATTTGATTTCAACCCTTGTATGGATGTATTTATTTATATTATTTTTTTAATTTTAAAAATTAAAAACTGACAAAACAACAATGAAGGCCCATTACTGAACTCCTGATACTTGTATGGTGAAGTTCTGCATTATTTCCATTTTTTTTTTTTTTTTGGCAGTACTGGGGATCGAACTCATGACCTTGTGCTTGCCAGGCAGGCGCTTATGCCTCTGAGCTGTATCCCCAGCCCCTCCAATATTTTTTATTTTTTATTTTTTTTTGTATGGATGTATTTAAAAAGTAGTTATAGTAAGGCAAATAAAACTTCATTGCTTGCAAAGATGTCAAAATTAGAATGTTGCATTTAAAATAAATTGGAAGCTTTATCTAGTGTGGGTAGATCCTCTTGACTGAGCTAGTGGGTTTTATTGTTGTTGTGTAACAAAGGTATGCTGTGTATCATGATCTTGTAAAAACTGTGTTAGGTAGGTGTTAGGGCTTGTATTTGGATGTAGTTTCTCTCCCCACGCCTCATGCAGTCATGGGGTGGGCTTCTAGAGTTTATGATTGATTCATGGTCCAGTGTTGGGATTATGGGTATGAGTGCTACACCTGCCCTGGGGCAGGTAGATTGCATACAATGTAAGGGAGGGAAAGAGCAGCTTGCCTGTACTCCTCCCTTTTGCTCTTGCTGCTTTTGCTATTTTCCGCGGCCATGAACAGTGCCCTCTGCCATGTGCCACTCTGCCTTGGAGCCAGCCAAGTATGGACTGAAACCACTGCACAGACTGTGAGCTAAATAAACTTTTCCTTCCTTAATTTTGGGCATCAGGTATTTTGTCTCAGCAAGAGAAGAGTAACCAAGACAGTAGGGCAATGAATAGGGTACGTTTTACAGGTTCCTAACTTTATTTTAGACATCATATATAAAAGTCCTTGTATTTATTCTTTTCATTGTCGTTGAGTAAACTTCGTCAGGTTTTAAAATGAATTAGTCAGTGTAGAGAGTACATTTATGTACTGTATTTCATATGATAAGGATTACTGTGAGAAACTGGAGGAGAGCTGTTGTCAGAGAAGAGGTTTTTTTGTTTAGTAAAATTCATTATATCTACATTTGCAGCTTATTAGAAGTGGACAAGTGGCTTTCTCTTTTTGACATCTTCGCTATTACTTAGCTATGTATACTGCCAGGTAAATACTGTCCCTTTTGTTTATCTTACCCTACTCACCTGACATTTTTGCTCTTAAAGCTATAATGAATTAAAGATGACTAGGTAAATGTCCTGGGCAGCTTTTACTGGGAAAGCGGGGGAGGTGCTTTGTAATGCAGAGGTAAAGAGGCCAGTAAAGAGGGTGGTCATTTAGTGCCTACTTTGAAAAATGCAGCAGGTGAATAGAAAGCTTGAACAAAATGCATTTATGGTTATTTGAACTTAGAGTTCAGTTTCTGTTACTTGATTTTATTATTCAAACTTTGGTGCTATGCTGTCTGTGGAAAAAGTTGTCTTAGTAACCTGAGAAATAATTTAGATATGTTTATGATGGTTCTGCTTAAAGTTATAATTCATGAACTGACAAAAATGTTTTTCTAGTGTGATCACTTATCAAAACATAGGCAAATAGCTTGGTAGTAGTAACTTCACTGCCCATTTTGCTTAGTGCAAGTGCAGCACGCGTGCACACAAAACACACACACACACATATACCCGTGTTTTTCTTAAGAGGCAAGTTAGTGACTACTTATTTTGGCACCTCGTGGTTTGTGTGTTGAGTTCATGAAATACAGTACACTAAATAAAAGGGAAGAAGGGACAATAGATATTATTAAATGTCTTCTCTGTTAGTTGTTATACTAGATGCTGTCCAAATATTATTTGGCAATGCTGTGAGGATTTTGGCTGCATTTAGAACTTACAGGTAAATGTTGAGGCATGGAGAAGATAAGTTTACCACAGCTCCCAAAAGGTAGAACAGAATCCACGTCCTGTTTCTGAAATCCAAAATCTATGTTTGCTTTGCTATGTCACAACATTCAAAATTTGTACATGTACTACTAGCTCTGTGGCAAAATTTCACCGAGGGATTGTTTTTAATATTGAATTTCTCAAAGTAACAAGAATAAATTAAGATAATGAACATTGGATAATGTTGCAAACTGTAGTTTCTTTTCAAAAGGAGATTCTAATTTAAAAGTGACAAATATTTAGTAAGGCCTCTTTTTGAAATAAAAAGATGAATCACTTGATGAGTCACTTTTTGTGGTATTGATGCCTGTAGTTGTTACCAATTCCTAAAAGATGATCATTTCTTTTTTAAACTGTAGGAGATGTTTGCAGTACATAATGATTAGATTCATTGTGGACAATAATACATCTTAATTCTTTTTTCTTTCCGTTCTTTTACTTTCTGTTTAATTCTTTTAATTCTGTTTAGTTTCTCTCCCCGTCCTCCCATCTCGCTCTGTTTAATTCCTTTTAATTTAATTCTTCTCCCCTCTCTCCTACCACCCTCCACCGCTTGGTCCATAACAAGTCTGCAGCCACAGTGCTCAGGTTTAACTTCTGAATTTACCTTTCCTAGTCTTTGTTATGTTTGACAAGTTTCTGTACTTCAGGATTGGTTGTTTCTTTTTAAATTTTCTTTATAATTGGGAAAATTTAGAGTAGTCCACATTTTTAGACTGTTTATACATTGTTATTCCACTATATTAATTCAGATTTTGTCTCCAATTATAAAAGCAGGAATAGTAGATATTGTATGTGTGTATAAAAGAGATGGTGTATATACCTGCTCCAGTCCCTGCCTCACGGAGGTCCTTGCTGTCTCGTTGCCTTTCTTCCTCATGAACAACTCATCCTCCAGGATCTGTGCTATGCTGTCAAGAAAAACAAATTTTTTTCATCTTATTTTGTAATTAATGTCATTTCTCTCAAACTCATGTCAACTTTTACTGGTTACCATTTTGCATTTGTAGTGTGTAAGTTCTTCCTTGATTTTGTCAGATTTTATATATATATGTGGGTGGAAGACAATAATTACTAAAGGATTTCACACATATGAATGCATTTTGAATCATGAAACTTGAAGCAGTTTTGAACCTCATCTTTGTTGTAAAGAAACTATCATGTATCCCAAACTTCTTACTCAACTGATTACATCTTTGAAAAATTTTATTAGTCCTTCTAAATGTTATTTTTGTGTTTGGTCAAAAGGTAATCCTTTGCCTGAAATGATCTTTTAAAATTAGCTTAAATTAAAAAATAAGTAATTACTTTAATTGTTTTTTTTTGTTGTTGTTCTCTTAGCTTCACAATGAAGAGGACAATTCAGAATCACCTGCTGCAGAGCAGCCATCCACTTCAAACTCAGCACCGCAGGTTGTGCAGACTGCTTCTTCAGCACCGGCACCTGAAACTGACACTTCTCCTCCACCTTATAGCAGTATTACCGCGGAAGTACCTACAACTTCTGGTATGGAACAGCTAGGAGAGTCTTTTCCAATTCCTTTTTTTTTGGTAGTATGGCTTTGTGCAATTAGCAGGTCTCTTAATGGGTTTTAAGCATATATAGTACATATCCACACATTTTTATGCATGAGTAAACATGTGCACATATAAATGTACAACTGTACAGATGCATACATGTCTGCATATGTGTGCACATGCCTCTGTCTTTATAAAACAAACAGTATTACTGAGGACGAGTGGGTAGAAACGTAATCAGAGGTGAAAGACATACACAGTATGACCCACAGCTATACGTGCAGTCGTAATTCTGAATACAAGGCAGTGATTCCTGTTTGGCAGTGTTTTCTTCTCTATTCAGGCCACTGTAGAGAACGAACCTTAGCTATTGCATTTTCGGAGCAATGGCAAATTAGTCATTATGATGATTTGTATACTATTACGATTTTGTATACTATTTGATTTGTGTGATTAATTTCAAAGTCTAACTTTTCTTTTATATACTCATTATGGAACATTTATTTAAAAAATCAATTATTGAAAAGCATTTTAACAGAAAAAATACTTCATTATAATATTTCATCTTAACAGTGGCTTGGGATTATCGGTAGGGACAAGATCCTTCTTAGCATAAGAGCACCTCCACCCTCTGAACCATCTGGTAATCCCCTCCTCAATAAATGCTGAGGTTCTGGCTGTTTCCTGGCCTTTTGTTTCTCATGAGCAACGGGTCATCCTGGATCCTACTGTATGCCACAAATAAACAAAACAAAACAAAATTTCATCTTATTGTGTAATTAATGTCCTTTCTCTCAGACTCATGTCAACTTTTTCTGGTTACCATTTTGCATTTGCAGTGTGTAAGTTCTTCATTGCTTTCATCAAGTTTATTTACATTTTTTTATTCAGTTCTGCGAGTCAACTTTGTGAAGTTCTAATTAAATTAATAAATTCATATTCCTTTTATTTTTATATAATATTTGATCAGTGTGCTTATTCAGTACAGATTTTCATGCTTTATTTTGCTGGCAGAGGATGGAGCCAGGGCCTTGTGCATGCTAGGCAGCACTCTACCTTTGAGCTATACCTGCAATCCCTCATGCACAATTTTTATCTTAATTTCCTTTAGTCATTTCTTCGGTTTTCAGATTTAGCAGTTGGTTTTTTGCTTGTTAACATTTACTATGTGCTAAATGTTCATTATTTCCATGTTTCCAGAATAGAGCGTAATGAATTTGCTGCCTTAGATTTGAAAAAAAAATCAGTTTAGAAATGTAGTTCAGTGGGAGGCCCTGTTTCAATTCCCTGCACCTCCACAATAAAAATGAATTGGATAATAATCTTGAAGAAAATGAATTTTTTTTATGACATTTATGACTGAGAAGTGGAAGATACTAATTTTAAGAGTAAATTTTGATACCTTTTGAGGGGATGTCATTGCTATTTTTGTGTAAAGATGACTCCAAATTTCATGAAGTAAAAATGCCAGTCATTCATTCTCACATTTTTCGGAGCGGACTGGGCTCAGTAATATTATTCTCCCCCAGAGTCTCACGTACTTTTCATCTGCTGGTAGGCTTCCTCTCAAAGGCTTCCTTTTTCACATGTGTGGTGGCTGATTCTAGCTTCAGTTAGAACTTCAGCTGGGGCTACTGGTCAGAACACCTGTATGTGGCTTCTTCATGCCTAGGTTTCCTCAATGAATGATGACTGGATTCCAAGAAAAGCATTCTGAGGGAAAGCCACCTGGAAGCCATCTAGCCTGTGGTGATACTGCTTCAAAAGTTACACGGTGTCACTTCCACTAGATTTGGTTTGTTAGAAGTGAGTTAGTGAGTTCAAAAGAAGAGAAATTAGTCTACTTTTTTTTTTTTTTGAGACAGGGTGGGTCTCACTGTGTAGTCCATGCTAGACTTGAATGCACGATCCTCCTGCCTCATGCTCTGGAGTGCTGGGATTGATGACATTTTCAGAGAATTTGAACATTAACTTTTGAAGCTACTGAAGCTGCCTGTTTCCTTTTACCCTCGCACCAGACCTTTTTCTGCAGTCTTCCACGTATCAATAAATGGCTTCAGCAGACCAGAAACCCTTTGAGCTCATTTTTTTGTACCTAATTAGAAAGTCAAGTGTTTTTTCTTCTTTAATTTTTGTTGTAATGAAAAATCTTTATAGTAGATTTCTTTTAATGCATCTGCATATTCTGGATTAAACGGATATGCTCTAATAAATGGTCATGCTCTAATCTCGTCAAGATTTAGATTTGTTAATATTTTATTGAGTTTTTGCAATGAATACTTTATGTACTGTCTTTATAGTTTTGGTATTAAGCAACAAAAATGTTTTGAGAATCTTCCCATTTGTCTATAATTTGGAATATGATTATAACATCATTTTAAAAAGTTAGATAAATTTCAGCAATAAAACTAGTTGAGCTTATTATCTAAATGTTCACTTATTCCAGCATTCTCCTCAGTGGAGACTGATCTTTTTAATTTTTTGAACAAATTTGCTAAATGGCCACTCTTGATTTTAATTGAGCATAAGCTTTGTGTAGGTGTTTTTTTTTTTTTTTTTTTTGCTTGTTTTTGTAGTGCTGGGGATTAACTGAGCACACAAATGTTTCTAGAATTTTGGATTTCTTTTTAGTGAGAACTATTGATATTTTCTTTGGTGAAGATTATATTTTCCAATAGGTTATTTTATAGATCTAAACATCAGTAGTCATGTGTGATATTTGTATAGTATTTCCAGTGTATTCCTTTTGAATGTTCTTTGATTTTTTTCCCCATAATTGCAGGTAATAACTTTGCTTATTTAGAAAGTTCAGCTTCATAGTGCTTGTAAGAGAATTGGAGCTGAAGCTACCCAGATTTTCTTCACTTGTTTTTTGCTTTTGTTTTTGTTTTTTGAGAAAGGGTAGTTCAGGCTATGTTCAGCTCACTGTGTAGCCCAGGCTAGCCTCAAACTTGTACCAGTCTTCCTGCCTCAGCCTCCCAAGTGCTGGGATTGTAGGCATTCACCACCATGCCCGGCATCCAGATGTATTTTGAGAACCAGTACCTTACACGTTGGAATCAAAATTAGTTACAACAATTTAGGGCTGCTCAACTACTAATGGAGGGGATTTTTTTTTCTATATTGAGTGTTGATGATTTTAAAATTGTTACATACTTGTTCCCTGGATAATATGTCATTTTTCTAGTCTTTAAAATGTATACTTTTAATACTATTGCATTGAACCTCAGAACTATTGTTTTCACTTAGATTTTATTCCTGTTGTAGCCTTTGCACTGCAGGAAGTCTATTCACTCCACCTTGTATGGTGTTTTTACATAGTGATGGTGTTTGCTAAGCATCTGTGACTCTCATGTCCGCTGGTGAGTTGCGTTCATTAATAAATGCGCTGCTGCCATCACTTTCATCGGTAGATTAAAAATGACCTGTGAGATTCTTAGTTCTTTCGGATAGCATTAAAATTGTTCTAAAACCTGTTTACCTGCATGGGTATTGCTAGAGTAAAATGTGTTTTCATGTTGAAAATACAAGATATTCTGATAAAATTATTAATATAGAAAATATAAAAATACTGTGATTATGATAGTAAAAGTTTTGGTAGATTTCTTAATAACTCTTAATAATAACTTAATAAAATATTAACAAATCTAAATCTTGATGAGATTAGAGCATGACATATCCATTTAATCCAGAATGTGTTATATTAAAAGAAATCTACTAAAACCATGATATCAAACATTGTGGCATACAGAATCTACCTTTAAAGTGTCAGAGATTCTAACTGACTCTGTATAACTTTACTTGTATTGTTTATATTGGCAATAAGTGATATAATGCTTTTTTAAAAAAAGAGGCTGTCTGTACTTACTATTATTCTGTACTTCTGGAGTTTATATTTTTAAAAATTTTCAAAAAATTTTTAAAATTGGGAAGATGGTAGATTTTCTTCATAGAAGATAATAAACCAAGAGGATATGGGGAAAATGGAAGTATTTCTCATTCTTGAGATCTTTTTTTCATATGTCCACTTTTGGATGTGTATCAGTCTTTTCTCTTTATAATAAATGTAAGACTAAAATAAGGTTGTTAGAGTGACTGTAAATTTTTATTTTGTTACAGTAAAAGACACAGTGCCATGAATTCCCCTCAGAGTATTTCCTTCCCTTCAAGCACACTTATCCCATTGTTTTAGCCACTTTCTGAAGCAGTTCTGGAAGTCCTCTTGCATGAGTGTCTTTAAATGTGCTGTTGTGGCTGCCTCAGTGTTGTGAATCTGAAATCAGAGTGTTTCCCTCTCATGGTCATTTTGACTTTGAGGAGAGCCAGCAGTTGCATGGTCCCGGGCCCAGTGAGTAAGGTGATGAAGACACTGTGTGAGGTTTTCATGCGCCTTTCTTACTGTTGATGGCGTTCAGCAGAGGCCGTCACTGCAGTTTTGACCACACCTTGTACAGACATTCGTTAAAGAGGACTCCATAACAGCTTCAGAAAGTGGTAGGAGCTATGCGATTGGTGTTTGAAGTGAGGGGGAGCACTTTGAGGGAGATTAATGGCAGTGGGTCTTTCACTGTAATAAATTGTTTTTAAAAATTTAAACATTCATTCTACATTTTTACCACAGTGCATAAGACTGCCATAGTGATAGTAGTCTTAAGTGGCCTATTATAAATCATTAAATTGGAGCTGTTTTAAGGATTGTCTTTGTCAAATCTTCCTCTTCAGATACGGAAGTGTGTGGTGAGTTTTATCCTGTGCCGCCTCCCTACAGCGTCGCTACCTCCCTTCCTACATACGATGAAGCTGAGAAGGCTAAAGCTGCTGCGATGGCCGCTGCAGCAGCAGGAACATCTCAAAGAGTGAGACAGTGTTATCCTCTCTTTTGATATTAACGCATTTATTATGTATACCTTCAGTAACATCAAAAATAGTTCTCTGGTGTAAGAGTGTAATTTTCCTGTAATTTGTATGTGTGTGTGTGTGTGTGTGTGTGTGTGTGCGCGCGTGTGTGTGTGCGCGCGCGCCCCTTTTTTCAGACAAGGTTTCCCTATGCAGTTCAGGCTGGCCTTGAACTCACTGTGTAGCCTCCTGAGTGCAGGGATCACAGGTGTGCACACCATGCTCAGCCTGTAGTTTTTTTCTTTTCTTTTCTTTTTTTAACTCCTTCTTATATGCATTATTTTTGGTCAAGTTGGCACTCCCTTTGTCAAATTAGCTTCTCTGTTCCTTGACCTTCTTGTTTCTATTGATTGTCACCCCACCCCACTTCATCTTGTGGTCATCCTAGACCTTGTCTTTACCAATCCATTTATTACTTGTGGAACTTGGATTTTATTTATCTTCGGTACTACCCTCTCATTCTTGCAAGTCACCAGGTATGGGTGTTCCACCCTACGTGTTCTTCTCTTTTGCTGGGACCTTCAGTCCACCATGTCTTCATTGACTATATATTTATTTTTCTCTGTGTACCATTTAGAATTCATGGGCTGTCCCTGTGGCCACAAGTCATCTCTTTTCTATTCATGCTTTTTATAGGCACTTTAGTGACTCCATGAAAGATATTAAGGTAAGATAAAATGTGTAGAGAAAAAAGTTATAAGGCCTTCAAATAATTTTTTTTAGTAATTTACTTTCTTTTTATCATATCTTATCCTGCAAGTTTGGAGTAATGATGGTGTCCTTGCTCTAGAGAGAGTCAGGGAGCTGCGTGTGTAGTAGTATTCTGATAGAATGAGTGGCTGTCTCAGTTACGTAGAGACAGCCATGTACATGGCCAGGGCATGATCAAAGAATACATTGAGTGGTTACATTAAAAATGACTTCATTGCAGTGAATGATACATTGCCACTAATACCCCTCAGAGTACCCGCCTCACTTGGAGCACGCGCATCTCATCCTGAAGTGGTTCTGGCAGTCCTGTTTCCTGTCATTGCATGGCTATCTTGATTTCTTGCATCAATTAAAAATGTTGATGGCGATTTCTGTCAGTTAAAAACATTACAGTGTGTCATCATCCACCTCATTCACTGGATCTGGCACAGTGCAACCTGTGACTCTTTCCAAAAGTCACAGTGACCAGGAGGATACATGTTTTGAAGTAATTCAGCGACATTGAGGCAGCTGTGATAGGGCAACTAGAAACATCCATGAGAAAGGACTTCCAGACCTGCTTCACAAAGTGGCCAGGATGACGGGATACGTGTGTTTGAAGTGAGAAGTATTCTGAGGGGGTTAATGCCAAGGTACCTTCCTATAATTGAATTCAGTTTTAAAATCACCATTTTTGTGGTTTTTTGAAACAGGGTTTCACAATGTAGCCCAGGCTGGCCTTGAACTCATGGTGCTCTTCCTACCTCAGACTCCCAAGTGCTAGGATTGATAGGTGTGCCTCACCGTGCCCGGCAGTGTATAATATTTCAAAATCTCAAGTTGTACACCATAAAAATACGTACTTCTTTTGGTTAGTTAAAAATGTTCTAAAATTAAAAAACAAACCTGGTCTGACTAGCACTTGAGTACATTCAGCTGTAAACGAGTCTCCGCTGGCGGAGAGAGGGATGCTGCTCTCAAAGGTACTCTCGGTGCGACAGCACAGGTGAGGCTGCAGCCACTGACACTGCTTCCTGCCTGTGTCCTGTCACACGTATCTTGTGCAGCGGCCAAATAGATTCGTGGAAATGTGCTACTCATTTTTAGTATTTCTTTGAAAAATATTTGAATTCTAAGTCATTCATGTAATAAAACTTTGAAAAAACACACTTACTCATCAGGTAGAGTCATCTGAAAACCTTCTAGGTGAGTAGGGTTCATTTTTTGTGACTTGTTTGAAATTGTTATATTAATTTGTCTTTTGACATAAGAACTAGAGCTCGGTAAACTGAGCTGCTGTCCTCCAGGGACTTCATGTCAGTGGTCCTAACCCCGAGCTGTTACCTGGCACACACATGGCATTTAATACAGGACCGCTGGCTAAGGTAGTGTGTTCTTTGCATTAGACAGTGATGGGAATACCTCATATTCTATTGCAGATTTTTGTTTTAAAATATTTTGTTATGTTTTATAAATTTAAGGATTTATAAATGTTTAGTGTAGTTGAAATTATTGCACAAATACCATCTTCTTAAAAAACATTTTGTGTAAATATTTTTCTCCTATTTAATGGTCAAGTGAAATTTAATAAGAGTTTAATTTAGTGGCCATATCTCTCCAGGGAAGAATTATTTTCATATATTTATGCGTGGATTTTCCCTCCCAGTGAGAGTAATGTAAAAGATAACTGTATGTAAGGCTTCTGCTTTTTAAAAAGTAAAAGCCTGTAGTAAAATTTCTGTATTATTCTAAAAAAATATGAGATGTTGTACGTCTGTCATCATACTGAGTGCTTTTAAAATCTTTTTGTTGTTGTTCATGTTGTTTCTTAATGTTTATTTCTTGAATTAATTTTAATATTATATATATATATATATATATCTATTTTTTTTTTAAACAGAGTCTCACTAGGTAGCCCAGGCTGGCCTTAAACTCACAGTGATCCTCCTGTCTCAGCCTCTTTAGTTCTGGAATTAGTGGCGAGTGCCACCATGTCTGGCTGAAAGTCTATAAAATTTTATTAGTATGTGCTTAATCGTTGCCATCATTAAATTTATTATATAAAGTTTGCCTAGCATATATGATTCCAGAGTTTTAAGAGATTTTTTTACCCACATAATGAACAACATACATGGTTTTGAAAGTTTTTTCTTTCAGGATAGCAGTATACTTAGTGAGACTACTGTGATTTAGAGGGAAGCACATCAGTGTCCTGGATTCAAGTTTGGCCTTACCTTTTCTGATTATGTGATCTTGGGCCAGGTACTAGCTTCTCTTACTATACCTCACAGAACTGAAACACTAATACTCAAGATTGTGTACATATAACCTGGAGATAATGTATGTATAGATCAGGTCAGACTCTTCGTCTGCTCAGAATTGTGTAAGAACTTCCATTTCGCTCAGTACAATCCAAAACGCTTCAGTGGAGTCTGGACTCTGACGTCATTTCCTCCTGTTTTTTCTTGGGTTTGCTCTAGTCCAGCCAGGACAGCCTTCTTGCTGTTACTGACGTGTCATGTGTGATCTGTCATAGTGTCTCACCTCTGACATAGTCTTCTGCTTGGAGTACTTTATGAGATGTCTGCGTAGCTCTCTTCCTCTCCTTTACGTTTTTGCTCAAGTCTTGCATCAGTGAGGTCTACGTGACTGCTGTGTTTGAAATTGTAGCCTAACCCCGCAGCAGCTTCCTTCCTTCTCTTCCTTTTCCTTTTCCATCCTTCTTCTGTTTGCCTTTTCCCTTTCTCTCCCCGCCCCTCTCCTTTCTTCCCTCCTTTTCTTTTTGTGGCATACTATTTACACTTCTAATAATTACATAACAACTGTTATGTCTTTGTGTATTGTCTCATTCTTGGAACCACAGTTTAGTTTCCAGAGGCCATACATGTTTGTTTTGTGTACACTGATGTATTTCAAGGACAAGGAAGCAAAGTCTTGTGTAGAGTTGAGTACCGAGCAGTATTTATTGAGTATCAGAGGCAGTCAGTGCTATAGGTTTTGTATATACTTTCATAGAAATTGTTTACATTCAAAAGCAAATAATACACGATTATTTTGGTATTAAAAAAGGCTTTGGACTGTAGAACCTTTTTTTTTTTTTTTTTTTTTTTTGAGACAGGGTCTCACTATGCAGTTCAGGCTGACCTTGAGCTCACTTTGTAGCCCAGGCTGATCTTGAACTCACAACGATCCTCCTGCCTCAGCCTCCTGAATGCTGGGATTACAGGCCTGTGCCACCACACCCAGCTTGTAGAAACTATTTTTAGACTTTTGTTCTTTTTTTTTAACTTTTAAACCAAACTGCTTTTTGAGTTTCATTTGGTACATACACAATAATTTATTTCACCAGTCTATTAAGGGCTATCACTGGTCTGAGTGTTTGCCTAATTTGCAAGCTAACTGATTAGTAGTTTATCAGTTTCTTTGATGCTGGTAGGAGACCCAGGACTTCTTGGGTCAGAGATAAAGACTTCATTATTGACAGCAAAACAGTAGCCAGGGTATTAGCATTTATCCCTGCCAGTTCCCTGAGCCTCAGTTTCCACTGGCTGCACAGATGCTATCTTTTTTTAAAAAACATTTTGTTTGAAAATAGTCCATAGGACAGTACAAAGAGGGCTAAGTGATAAACTGCACGTGCAGTTGCTTGTGCTAAAAGGAGAGGAACCCTGAATTTAAGGATCCTGAATCTTTTCCTCTTGTCTTTAAAATGATGTGTGAACACATGGTAATTACACAAGCCAGTGGCTTTCTTTCTGACAGAGCACACTCACTTTCCCTCCTTCCCCTCCCGCTTCTTGCACCCACTCCTTTCCCTCACGGCCTGCCTGCTGCTTTCCTGTTGCCTTTGCCCTAGATCCCACATCTGAGGAAAGCGTGACTTACTTTGCTTATTAATGTGATAATCTCTTGTTCCATCCATTTCTCTGCAAATGACACGATTTCATTCTTTATGGCTAAATACTACTCTGCTACAGTGGTGGGGAACCTGTGACGTGTGTGGTGTTTTTAAGACAAGAGATGTTAATGTGTGAGTTGTTTTTTTGTAAAACCAGTAACCATAGTATTCAGGTTTAATTGCAGTGTTGGCACTTTGTGACAAATAAGTGGATTTTGGGTTTCAGTTCTGGCACTTGTCTCTAAAAGGTTCACTGTCACTGCTGTGTTGTATTTTTATGCACATTTTCTTTATCTGTTCATCTGTGGATGGGCATCTGTGCTGATTCTGTAACTTAGCTATTGTGAATAGTGCCACAAAGATAGGAATGTGAGCTATTACTATAGTACGTTGACTGATTCCCCTGAGTAGATACCTAGACGTGGCATAGAGGGATCATATGGTAATCCTTTTAGTTTTTTGAGGAACCTCTTTACTGTTTTTCATAGTGGCCTTCTAACTTATATTCCCATCCGCAGTGTAGAAGTAAGGTCCCTTTCCCCTGCATCACTGCCAGTGTTTGTTATTTTTGTTTTTCCTTGATAATAGCCATTCTGGTTGGGGTGAGATGGACTCTCAATGTAGCTTTTGGTTTGCATTTCCTGATAGCTAAAGATATTAAACATTTTTTCTATATATTTATTGACAATTTATAGTTCTTTTGAGAAGTACCTGCTCAGCTCATTTGCTGATTGATTTGGCATTAAAGTTTTTGAGTTCTTAATATATTCTAGGTTTTAGTCCTTGGCCAGATGAATAGCTAGCAAGGTTTTTGTCTCATTCTGTAGGCTGGCTCTTGACCCCACTGATTGCTTCCTCTGTTTAATTTTATAGAGTCCCATTTGTTCATTCCTGCTATTTATTTCCTGAGTTAATGGAGTTCTGCTGAGGAAACCATTGCCTGTTCTGATGTTTTAAAGTCTTTCTCTTGTTTTGCTCTGTTGGCTTCAAAGTTTCGGATCTTATGTTAAAGTCTTTGATCCATGTTGAGTTGACTTTTGTAGAGCAAGTGAGCGAGAGAGATCTAGTTTCAGCCCTCTACAGGTGCACGTCTGGTCTTCCCACTGCCCTTTGTTGGACAGGCTGTCTTTTCTCCAGTGTGTTCTGTTACTCCTTTGTCGGGAATCAGATGGCTGCAGACATGAGCTTATTCTTAGGTCTTCTGTTCTGTTCCATTGGTCTGTGCGTCTGTTTCTATGCCAGTACCTCTGTTTTTGTTGCAGTGGTTCTCTCCTCTGTGTGTGTGTGTGTGTGTGTGTGTGTGTGTGTGTGTGTGTGTGTGTGTATGTGTGTGTGTGTGTGTTTCTTTTTTCTTTTGAGAGAGTATCTTGCTATGTAGTTTAAGCTGGCCTCAAACTTGTGATGATCTTCCTGCCTTAGCCTCCCAAGTACTGGGATAATAGGCATGGGCCACTATGCCCAGCTCTGTAGTATATTTTGAAATGGGTATTATGATGCCTCCAGCGATTTTGATTTTGTTTTTCTTCAGGATTGCTTTGTGCTTCCACATGAATTTTAGAATTATTCTTTCCTATTACTGTGAAGAATCTAAATCATTTTTTAATGATCAGTGAGAGAATCTATATCTTTGTCCTGAAGGGAAACAGTCTCTTCCAAAGTTCTCCACTGTGTAAATGTGCAGAGAAAGGCAGCCAGTACCTCTGCCAGCAAGACATGCAGAAGCATGAGAGACCCAGGAATTACTGCCCAGCACAGCCCACTGTGGGTGACATTTAGATTGTGTCTGATCACTTGCTTTTAAGAATTGCTGCTGTGGAGGCTGGGGATTTAGCTCAGTGGCACAGTGCCTGCCTGGCAAGTGCAAGGTCGTGAGTTCGATTTCCGGTACGGGGGTGGGGGACCTGCCACTAGGTTCCACTAAGAATTGCTGCTATGAATCTCTTTACTACATTCATTCTTTTCTTTTTTTTTTTTGTACTGGAAATCGAACTCATGACCTCAGGATTGCCAGGCAAGCACTTTTGCTGCTGAGTTACAGCCTTGGCCCTTACATTATTTCTTATAAGTGGTAGTGTTGCAATATCTCTCTACAATATATTTCAAGATCTGGAGCTACTGGATCAGTGGGTATATACATTTTTATTTTTGATAAATTTTTATGTGCAGATTATGAAACACAAGTTATACAGATTTGTACATCACCCCTGATTATTCCTGTTTTTCCATTTGACGCTAGTGTCACATTTACCTTCTTGACACTTTGTAAGTTCGATACTATTCAGCTTCCTTTTCTGTGTGTTTATTGCTAAAGTTATGCTTTTCAGGGGGGCCCATGAAGAAATACTAGCTTGCTGTTCTTTGAATACTTAGAGCCAGACGTTGTACTTACTATATAATTTTGTCTATACACCTTGAGAACATTGTATTTTATCGAAGTTCTTATTGTTACATTTAAGGCAACATAATTAGCTGAGGGAGCTCTTCTGCTGTTATGTTTTACAGAATCAGGAGGAAGAGTGTCCACCCAGAGACGACTTCAGTGATGCAGACCAGCTGAGAGTGGGCAACGATGGCATTTTCATGCTGGCGTTTTTCAGTAAGTCATCTTTCTACACCGCTGTGCAATTAAAGTAACGTCATATAAAGGAGGATAAACTTGATTCATTTGCAGGAACATGGGCTTACTTTGAGACCATAAAGTGAGATAAACTGGACACACACGCTTAAATATCACGTGGTTTCTCTGTTAGGAGAAACCCTGAATAGTAAGTAAAAGGTAGATAATAGGAAGTAAGGGGACCAGTTGTTCTCAGAGGGAAAGGGGCTCGAGAGATGGGGAGGGGAAGGGGCAGGACGAAGGGTGACAGAAGGAGTTAGGGTGTGCTCTGTACTTGCAGCAGCTCCGCACAAGGAGTGTGAATGTGTGCTGCGGACCTGTGCAAACAAGGAAGGGGATCAAGGGGTGGGAAGAGCTCGGGGTGGGGGGAAAAGGATGAAAAAAGGAACATACGAACTCCCATAAGGAATATGAACATTAGGTACCACACACATAAACTAATAAACTGAAATAAAGAAATAAAAAATACAAAAAGCCAAAAAATAACATCATAAAGAAAATATTAGCATGTGTTTACTTTATTTAAAATAATAGTTCAGAATAGCGACCTAATGAATACAGATCCTAGCCTTTATTTAACACTGACTGGATAATTATGTGTTGCAGCCATTGTGGTAGATATGGGCAACCAAAAGGTATACAGATAAATATTTTGTAAGAGAAACGCTGCATCCATCCCACGCTGTGGGGATACACAGAATGAAACTGTAAGTCCTGTTTTTGGGGCAGAAGGCTTCCATTTGAATGCCATTAAGCAGAAAGAAAAGAGGATATTCTGGGCAGCAGCACACTGTCACTAGGAATGGTGTGTAGTTAGAAGGTCAGAAGCCCTAATTAGTGTTCTTTTTAACATCTTGCGAAATTCCTTTTTTTTTTCTTTTGAGACAGGATCTTGCTATGTATTCCAGGCTGGGCTTGATCTCACTGTGTATCCCAGGCTGGCTTCAAACACCTGACAGTTCTCCTGGCTCAGCTTCCCAAGTGCTGGGATTACAGGCGTGCGCCACCACGCCCCACAGCCATCTTTAACAGAAAAGTCGTACTTTGTGTGTGGAGTTACTTTTGAGTTGAAATTCACTTACCCTTTTGTCCCCTTTTGAAATGCTGTCTTGCTTTGTGTCTTTATTTCACTTGCTGAAGAACAGAGGTGGGCGGGCAGCTCTCTTTCTTTTCTCAAGTTTATTAAATTATATTCAAGTTACTGATCAAATAAATTACGTACATAGTATTTAAATCTTAAGTTGGTTGTAGTTGCCATTTTTAATGGAAAAGAAGGAAATGAGCATTTTGGTTACAAATGCTCATTTGGTACTATTAGTCTGGAAACCTGCCTTTTTTTAGTCTTAGTTTTAGTTCATTTGGTAATGCTTTCTTTTAATAATGCATTTCCCACGTACGTTGCTTTCTTGGTTGTGTCTTAAGGAATCCTAATTGGAAAATAATCTAAATCATTATACTGTTTGTAGCATCAATAACTGTTTCTTGGGAATAAAAGCATGTTATTTGATACCAGCTAATTATTAGTCTGCAAACTTAGTTCTTACTGTTTCTCTCCAGTCTTCTTTACAATCCTTATTTTCTAGAGCTGAAAACATCCCACTGATGTAGATGTTAGAAATGCTCGATAAATTAGACACATCACGCTTCACTTTTGGTCAGTAGTAGTATGTCAGTATACATATATTTCAAGGTTTAATATGAAATATTTTTCTCAGTCTTTACTAAATTATGTTTTTGCAACTTATTTTTATGCTTTCTAGTCTGAAAACATTGCAAAATACTCTGAATGAAATTGTAATTTTTTACCTTTTTTTTCTGGTACATTTCTTTTAGGAGGCAGTAAGTTGAGTGTGCTTTGCTAAGTGTGGATTTATTTGTAATTACTGCCATCTAGTGACTAATCTTCAAATTACAACTTGCTATATTTTCAGTGCTTGGGTAAAACTGTTGTAAAACATCTAGAAAGTTTCCTTGAACATTTAAGGTCATATTTGCACAAATAAAACTACATTGAATGCTATAATATTTGCTTAACACTTACTATAGGATTTATTGTTGCCTTTATTTTCAATGTCTGTTTCATTCTTACTTTATGTGACCTAAAAGAATTTACTCTTAAAAGTTGATAGTGTGAGTACCTGTTCTTGTTCAGAAATTGTAAAGGAAGAAATTATGGATCCTTTAATAATGTTTTTGCTTTTCATAAGATTTAAAGTATTATCACAGTTATTTGATGTACATGCCTAATCTGAGTATCTCCTATCTTAATTTTAAGAAAATATTTAAGGCAGTGGAATAGAATCTAGTTGTTCATCAGTTGAACTCTAAATTAAGATTTAATTCAAGTATAATTGACGGTCTATAGAAACAGCTTTGAATTCTAGCGCTTTGAAAGGTAGTGAACTGTTTGGGTCTGTTTAGGAAACTTTTCTTCCAAAGTTCATTTGTGCCATGTGCTTGCGAATCTCGGTGTCCGCACACTGTTGTTCTAATGAATTACTTGCACCGTTTGCATTTTAGACTTGAGGGAATCAGAAGGACAAACTACAGTGTTTGTAACTTTAAAAAATTGGGAAGTGTTTTAAAATGTAAATCTGACTTGTAAGAGATTACCGCACTTTCTCCACAGTGACTGTACTGTTTTGTATTCTCACCAGCCGTACATGAGGTTAGCAGTTGGTATTCGCAGATTTTTATTATTTTAGACTAATAGGTAGTGTAGTGATATCTAATGGTGGTTTTAATTTGCATTTCTCTAATGATGATGATGTTGAGCATCTTTATTCCATAAATTGTTTTGAGAACTTACCATATACAAATCAAAAGTTATAGTTCCTGAAAGATTTACCCCACTCATACTGAAAAACAATGCTTTGGTGAGTTATCTGCCCATATGAAGCTGTGTCTTAATATAGTGCTTAGATGGGATTATGGATTGTACGTGAATACAGGAAAGTAAAATCTAAGAATTATGATTATACCTTAAGATGCCCATAAAATATTGGTTGTGAAGTATTATGTTTTACCTTTTTTTAAAAAAGCCAAGTTTTTGCCTGGTGACTTAGGCTAGCTGAACTCTTAGGATGGGAGTGCGTGGAAGCTACATTGCCGTATAGTTTTTAGCTGGCTTAAAGCTGTTCTTTCACTTGCTGGTGATAAACTGTAACTTCGATTCCTGTTGACTGAACTAACGAGAATCCATGCTTACCCATCTGTAGATGCACAGTAAACAGCTAATACATTTATACAGGCACACTACAGTCCATAAAGAAGGCTTAACTCGTAGAGTTAAAACAAAAGGAGCTGCTGCTTCAGCAGTGAAGCACTGTTAACGTCAGTGGCGGTGCAGGTATGGCACGCGTGCTGCTGCTCGCTGTTATCATTGAAAACTCTTTACCAAGGGTTGCTCGCCTTTACTGGGTAATATTCCGTCGGTGTTACTTTCCGTATTGTGACCTTTAAAAGAAGTTTCTTTTGCTTTTAGTGGCATTTATATTCAACTGGCTTGGATTTTGTTTATCCTTCTGTATCACCAATACTATAGCTGGAAGGTACGGTGCTATCTGTGGATTTGGCCTTTCATTGATCAAATGGATCCTTATCGTGCGGGTGAGTGTCTTAATAGGGTATATGTCTGTTACCTCTAAAATTAAAAAGGTGTGAAATTTTCTGCGTGATTCATAAGTGTTCACTTCATGCACATGAATCCCACTTAGTTGTTCTGAGCATCAGTTTCTTCCAACAGGCTGCCTCACAGGGTTTGAATGAGGTATGCAAAATAAAGAGCCTTGCCCAATTGCTGCACAAATATATGTGCTTGGTAAATCACGGTTATTACTATTTTGATACAGTATAGGTATGGCTAAAAGCAGATAAAAACTGAAATTTCTGTAGTTTTATAAATTATGAGCTTAAATGTTCTTTTTTGGTAACACTCAGAGCTCAGAAGTAAAAGCAGAGCCTATGAAGTGGCTATCAGAACTCATCTTTTTCCCCTTACATTATTTCTAAGCTTTCCCATTTGTTTGTTGTTCCTGAAATCACTCTCTGCCTTCTTCTTATCACTTACAAGGTGATGTTTAGATAAACAGTGAAACACCCTTTCCTTTCCCATCTCAGCAGCTTTCCTAGGCTCAGGTAGTTTCCTGTGAAAATAACCTAGGCATTAGTGCCATTGTCATAATCAGTCCCTAACCTTGACTTGACTTTGCCTCTTGCCTTTTGGGCTTCTTTGCACAAATATTTGTTCTATGATGCCTGGGCAAGGGGAAGGATTGGGAGTGGCTTTGTTTGTTCACTGTTTTACTAAGTCTTCTGAAAAGTTACCCACAATTTTTTAGTGCTATTATATGATTAATAAAATACATAATAAATTCTGTCAGTCATATTTATATAAACATTGACTTTTACTTAAATGAGCTCAATCTTTCAAAAGTTAATACAGTCACAGGTCTAATATATTAGCTTCTCTTACATTCTTCAGACACTTAGATAATGGATCTGTATTATTAATTTGAATAAAAGGTACCCAATACTTTAACATTAATACTGTGGATATAATGTATTTATTCATTGTTATAAAGTTTATTTTATAGCTTCTCAGTGTTTTAGTACTCTTAGGAGATCCTGTGTTAGTTCAGACCGGATTACAGGTTTGGGCTAATTGTCCATTGATTGTTGGTGGGACCTGTGGACTGGTTTCTTCTAAGATGATTAAAATCTGAGCCATTGTGAGAGCTGACCCCTGGATGTTTCTTTTTTGAGTTTTATTCCAGAAGATGCATAGTGAGTTTCCTCCATGAGCATAAGTCTGTTAGGTGCTGCAGAGCGTACAGAGACAACGGTGCAGTCCCTGCCCTTGCAGGAGTTATTACTAGGAAAACCCAGAAGGTTGGAGCTAAGTATGTCCAACCTTCGTTACGATGTTAATAGAATCAGTTCCTGTTATAAAAAGGCATCACTCATTTAAATCACAGAACAAAGAATATTATTTGAGAACTATTTTCTCAATCCTCCTGAAGTTGGCAAATTGCTAATGTCATTCTAGCTGCAAAAAAGGAAGTTGATGTAGATAACCTGTGCCTTCAGGGTCCTAGAGCCTGATTTCCTCCTAGAATGCCAGTTGAAAAGGGGTTAGATGATCTAGTCATCAGGTCTGATTAATGTGATAAGATGAAAATTAAAAATCAAAGCCTGGAGTTCCTCAGATTCATAAGGTATATATTAGCATTGTTTGATTATGGGAACTACTTGGTTTTCCTTTAAATGTATTTGCTGAGTGAAAGCTAATATCAACCTGTTAATATGTACTGAGAATTGATGTGAAAGGGATTTTTAAAAATCTCTTGTATAGAATAATAACCGTCATTCATCGACTGTTCAGGTTTAATTTATTACAAACATCAGATTGTTTAAACTGATCTGTATCTTTGATAGTGGCAGTGATTCCAGCATTTATTGATGAGGGAATTGGGGATAAAAAGAACCTAATAACTGGCTGAAAGCCCCACAGTCTGCACATGGGTTAGAATTTAGCTTGGACTTAATTCAATCCCAGTCCTGTCTGTACTGCCTCAGCTACCCTGTACCTTAACTTTTGCTGAAATGCTCTAATCCTTAAATTCCTCTTAGAGTTTAGTGCTAGAAGTGTATTCTCCTAAAAGTCTGTCGTTTCCATTTATTGGTTGGTAACTATTTTATGTCATATTACTCCTTTTTTTTTTTCCATTTCTGAACTGCCATGAATCTCAAATTTTGTTTAAATACCTTTAATCTAGTATTCTGGTATTCCTTCTGCCTAAGGCTTCTGGTGTTTTTATTGTTTGTTTACAAATGCATCTAGTGTATCTCACTTCTTGAAACTCCAGTGTAATTATTTTATTTGCCTTTGAGACAAAAATAAAGACAAGATGGTTTAGAACTTTGCTGGTAATACTTAGGTGTATTTGATTCTTCACCAATTCCGCTATAATAATAAAAAAAGAATATCATGCTTTTCTTAGTGTTTTGTTTTAATTTGTCTTTTACTATATTTTAAACAATGTTTACGAAGGCCCTGTCTAGTAAGAAATTACATGTATGTTTTACTAAAAATTAACGTTCTTTTAGAAAGATGGTAGAAACAATAAAATACTGGTATATTATTAGTAAAATAAAAGCATGTAAATTCTTAGCATTGGCTAGTTTATTTTCTAAAACTTGATTTCCAGAGCCAGTGATTGGCCAGTGAGCCTGGTGTGCTTCTAAACAACACCACACTTGGCTCAGCGCTGTGATCTTAGTATTTTAAAACATTTTTGATAACGCAAGTAATGAGCCCAAAGCTTCCTTTTCTCTCCTTTTAAAATAATGAGTCTCTTTGACTTCAAGGTGAAGATAATTGTATGTTCTTCATCTGAGATTTAACAATAGCTTTATGGTAAATATTTTTAGTGAAGAATGATACTTCCTGATTTTCTCATTGATTTCGGTACAATACACAGAAAATTAAAAATATATTGTTTTGGTCTTTTATTCTTTGTTCTTATAGCCTCTTAAGACCTTTATGAAAACTTTTTAATTGTTAATCATTTTATTAAAAAGTAGTAATCATCTTATTAAAAAGTATTAAAAGTATATTTATTAAAAATATACTGGTAAAAAGATTTACATTTTTACTAGTATATTGAAATTTTATATCTTTGGATTTTATAAAACTCTAAGCTAACGTGTAGATTGTGGTTTATTAATTAAAAAGAAATTGAGAGAAAGTACTTTAAAAACTTTAATCTTTAGTTGCCGTGCTCTTAAATGGCGACATTATTTGTAATTTGTACTTTTTTTTTTTTTTGGTTTTTCTCCGGTACCGGGAACCGAACTCACGACCTTGCGCTTGCCAGGCAGGCGCTTTTTGCCGTGTAATTTGTACTTTTGTTATGATCAAAAAGTATATGCTTTTAAAGTTGCTATGGAAAGTACTAACGCATAGTTAGAAATGCTTACATCCAAAATTTTAAATACTTTCAATTTCGGATCAAGCACACATCTGCATTCACCAAAATTATTTTTAGTTAGGTAAGATTTAGTTTGGAGAGCAGTGGAAAGAAGGTAGAAAACAAGTTAATTTTTAGTAGTTTAAAAATAATTCTGGGGGCATTATTTAGGTGCTGAGTAGATAAGGAAGGACTAGCAAAGAATTATGTGGAATCACTGAGGAAAGCTAGTTTGATTTTTTTAAAAAAAAAAACTTATAAACTTCAGTGTGATGTCTACAGTCTAATCAAGGAAAAGACGCCTGAGCCCTGTGCCGTCAGACCCTGCTTTCCATCGGCTCGTTCGGGTCCCCGCAGCATAGGGAATGTGAAACTCTGCCACCGCTGCTAATAGGAGCTGTCGAAATGCCGCTTCAAGGTTCATTTAGCTGTTCGCAGCTCACCGCTGGGGACTGAATCAGAGTGCATCTAGTTGGAAAATAAAAGGACTCCAAAGAGTTGGGGGTCTTTATGTGCCTAGTATTTTTGGCAGTGATTAACAGTAGGGGGTGTACAGAAGGTCAAAAGCTCTTCTTTATAGGGGTCACCAAAACATCCCCATCTGATAAGATTAAACTAATGTCGCTTTTGGTGTTAATACCTAAAGCAGCGGGTGCTGTGGTGTATTTGGGATACTCATGGCTTGCAGAGACTGTGAGAAAAGGACTGACATGAACGTCGTAACAGGAAAAATGTTTGCTTCAGAGGTGTACCGTCTACTTTTCTTTCTTGCAAGCAGTTTGACCTGTTGGTTTATAAACTATTTTATGTTTGTTTGCTATTGCATACGATTTTTTTGAGTTACATATGTATATTATTAATGTCAGTCATTAAATATGTTTGCTTTGTTTTCATCTTGGTGCTGCTGTTTTTAAGTGTTAAAGATTTTGAGGTAAATTATTATGAAGCTAAGAATATACAATTTTTAAATTTAGGAATATAAATATGGTTAATATGTTTATGTTCCTCCACAGTTTTCTGATTATTTCACTGGATATTTTAATGGACAGTATTGGCTTTGGTGGATCTTTCTTGTACTTGGTAAGTTTGTTCTTATTACATTTCAGGTTTTTCTTTTTGTGTGTGTGTGTGTCTGTGTCTTTTTGAGACAGGGTTTCGCTATGCAGTTCAGGCTGGCCTATAACTCCCACTTTGTAGCCCAGGCTGGCCTCGAACTTGCAGTGATCCTCCTACCTGATTTCAGTTTAACTAATTTTAGTTTAGCATTGGTACTTCTTAAAATTACAAGGTGTAAATTGTGTTATAACTGTGGAAATAATTGTTCTGGTGTAAAATTCTCTTATATAAACATTTATCTTAGCTTTTCAAGTAATTTTCTTTAGCATTCCAGATTTCTAAGATTTAGAATGCAGAGGCTGACAATTTAAAAAATCAGTGGTTGAATGATAATGGAGTGCTATGACATTTTATTTAAGTATTTTTACATGATTAAAAATAATCACCATTATTATTTATCTTGAAAATATACATGCATAATTTCATTTCATAATCTTAGGATATAAAAATTTAGTTTGCACATAGGATAGTGTGGGCATGCTGTCCATTCTATAATTTTTGGATCATGGGAGACATTCTTTCTGCTTTTGAAATGTACACTGTGCTAATCATTAATCAGCCAGGTATATAGAAAGCCTTCATGACTAATGGTCACTGTACTTCTCTTGTGTTTTATAGGGCATACTTTTATTAATGTTGATGATTTTATGGATTTTCAACTCGTGTGATGATTTGCTTTCAAAAATCACACTAATACTTTCAATGCGTCTTTCAAATATGTTTGCTTACTGATACGAAGGATGTGTTTGTTTCTACTGAACATAATCGCATCAGAAAGTAATAGCATTTCAGTAGGTGGCAGTCTTCTCTTTGAGTTTTTAAGTCATGCTTTTGGATCTTAAGGCATTTCGGAGAACAAATTCTTGGTGGTCACCAAATTCTTTCTCTAATAGTGATTCTTTTTCTAGTAAAGCAGTTACTCTAGTGTTACAGGTGTGTTAAGAAGTAGACTTTTGTAAAGGTTAAGTCTGTTTCATGTTGTTAATTGTATTCTGATTGACTGAATCATATTGCATTTACCTAAAGATGAAAAAATTGTAATACTAGGTATATAAACATACAAGTTGAGTATATTTGCTTGCTGTGTACATTATTAAGAATTTGAGAGAATTGTAGGAAGATAGCTGTGGGGTAGAGCTCCTAATCAGATTTCCCCATCAGGACGATACCTAGCATTTCACTTAGGAATGTGAAAATCTCATCAGTACTGAAAGTGTTGCTCTTATACTCAGAAGAATGTTGAGTATATTATAGCATGTTGAGAAGCAGCATCCACTGAGTGGTTGGGTTTCAGACATGAAAATAGGCTCACTTTAAAAGAGATGAGCAGAAAAAATTGTCTTAGAAGTAACAGCTTCATAGACAAAAGAAGGGATCGCACAAGTAATTTGGGTCTGCATTTCCCAGTAATACTGTTGCCTTTTAGAAACAATACCATTATCTTTGAGCAGCATCTGGAAGGGCGTGAAGATAGAATTTAGAAAGAGGAAGTCATGAGCGGAGGGCCTGGGACATAGGAAGCAGATGGGACTGGATTTAACTGAAATTAATGCCCGTTTAAATCACGTATACATTTCTTCTGTCTTGCTAGTTTATTACAAACAAACTCCCCATTTTTGGTGTTTTGAATACTGTCATGTGTTTGGGGCACAAATTTAGTTTGGATTTTGTATTATAAATTCACAGACACTTTGCTTGCCAGTGAAAAGAGTTGCACATATACATAGCTTCTGTTTTTGTTTTTGTCCTGTACCATTTTTCTATTTATATGTTTGCTGGAGTTAATAAGTTGTTTGCCTAAGAATTGCATGCTTGATATTTTAAAGGTATAGACTAACAGTGACAGTGCTTTTCTACATATGTATTATTTTCACCTGCAACTTTAAAGCTTTTCATAACCAATGCTTTTAAATTATAAAAATACCTGTGATGTAGATGGTTATTTTAAAATAATATTTTACAGAGAAGACTGTGGTAGGTACCTTGAATATCTAATCGTCTAAGAAATCACCGGTTACTGCCTCCCAAGTCTTCTTTTTGACTTTGTCTTTTTAGTCTACATTAGTTCCTTATTATTACTTGAAAATAACGATTCATAATTTTAAAAATGAACAAAAGGTATACATCTTCAAATATAGATTTCACAGGTCAGAAGCACTTGACAGGCTTACGAGACAGGCTTAATGTTTTTCCCAACAATTGCTGGCAGCTGTATGCATATATTCTCTTGAGTATTTTATATTAATAAGTATATTTTGTTTGATCATTAGTTATATTAATTGAAAGGTTTGATATAAGTTGAATAAGTAAAATGCCATAGATGACTTCACTATTTATAGGAATCACTTAACAAATGCATATATATTTTTTCTATTAAAATGTTTTGGTTTAACAGGTATATATGTTTTATGTAATTCTGGATTTTCAGAGTTGGGTTTACTTTGATTTTGGTACATTGAGACTTAAATTGAAAGACAGGATGGCAGTAAATTGATAAAGTTATCATTTTGTAAAATAAATGGAATCTACAAATGAACTTCCTTGAGCTCAAAGGATCTTACTTGTATTTGTTTTAAATTTATCTAGCATCTCCCTGTTTGTGCATAGGAACATAATATATTTATGTTACTTTAATTTTTTTCAGGCCTTCTCCTTTTCTTCAGAGGCTTTGTTAATTATCTAAAAGTCAGAAACATGTCTGAAAGTATGGCGGCTGCTCATAGAACAAGATATTTCTTCTTGTTGTAGAGGTAAATACTATTATGTTGATAGTGTATTCCCTTTATGTATGCACATTTAATTCACAATACTAAATGCATAATGTTCACTCTCAAAGTTAGCATATTTAATATATTTTCATGCTGTTAATAGCTTATTGAAATTTAGTAAGGTATAAGCCTTTTTAGATAACTTTAAAACATTTTAAATTGGATTTCGTACATTTCAATTTTAAAATACGTGAATGAAATAAAACTTTAAATCATTCTTTTTAAACTTCTTTTGCAAAATTGACTACAGGATGTGTTTGAAGTAACCACCAGTACAAAGTGTGCAGCCTTAAAAACAAAATGTGAAGAGTACTTAAACAGAAACGATGTGCATTTTGCTAAAACAATTTGAAATCCACATAGACATCTGTTCAAAAAAATCCGTATTGAGAAACAATTTGTCATGCAGTTATTTTAACAGTCTAGATCAAGGAATAAAAATTGTGTGAAGAGCCGCATGTGATGGTGCACACCTATAATCCCAGCACTTGGGAGGCTGAGGCAGGAGGACCATTGTGAGTTTGAGACCAGCCTGGGCTACAAAGTAAGCTCAAGGCCTGTCTCAGAAAGACCCTCCAAAAAAATTGTGTGCAGAAAATAGTTCTGTTACTGTGTTCATAATGCGTGTTACTTTGTATCAGTAATGAAGGCTATATCTTGAATGAACGAGGAAATAAAGAAATGAGCACAGGCTGCCTGGCTGGTGACCCAGCAGTGTCTGGAGACTGTGTGTATAGTCATAGCATTCACTTACTTAGCCCGGAGCATCTCCACATAATGAATCCTGGTATCTTTATTCTCTATCCTATTTTCAAAGCAAGTATTATATACTTTATATCTTTATTTATATACTTTATATCTTTATATCTGTATTCTATATTTAAATTTTAAAGTATTTGAACTCATAAATGAAGTGTCTACTGACACACTTTATTTCTGATTGTAAGGCATTTCAAGGTTAGTATAATTTAGGTACAGTATACACTTGGATTCTACATCTCTGTTTTTAACTAGCCATGGATTGAAAATATATGAAAAAGAAAAATTACATCACTGCTGAACATGTATAGACTTTTCCCCCCTTTTCTTGTTCCCTAAACAATGCAGCACAACAGATGTTTCCATAGCACTTAAATTGTATTAGGTATTACATGTAATCTAGAGATGACCTGGAAGAATGCAGGATGGTGTATGTAGGCTATATGCAGATACTACTTAGATGAAGTACTTGAGCAGCTGAGGATTTTGGTATTCAAAGGGCGCCCTGGAACAGTCCCTATGGATTGAAGGATGACTAATTTTTTTTAATAACTAGATTTGTGTGGTTTGTGATATGGTTGCTTAAATTTTCCTTATAATTTTTATGGGTTATTCATAAGTATATATAATTTACTTACGTCTGCTGAAGAGTACAGTGCATACAATGTTGTTTCTGGTTTATATTAAAAAGTATCACTTCAAGCATTCCTTTAAGTTCCCTTACCCCTAGAGTTGTTTTCTTTTTAACCAGTAAAATATCTTTGCAAGTGGTGTTACTAATATTTGTCAGTATTAGCAGTAAGAGAAAAGGCAAAGTAGTTTTACTCATCTGAATGATATTCTGTGAGTAGTGATTATCATTGTGTATTAATAAGTATTTTCTAGATGAGTCTCTTATGCTTCAAAATATGTTCTGATGTATACTATTTTATACTGTATTTATGGAAAGAACTTACGTATTTTATGTAGTGCTGCTGTAAGGTGGATTTTATTGTACTACAATTTGGGTAAGTGCAACTTACTACATTTTAGTATTAATTCTTTGTCTCTAGATTGCATCAACCCAACATTCCTTTCTTATACCAGTGTGAAATTTGTCATCTGTAAATCTCCAACTTTAATGGGATAGAAGACTACTAATAGAAGAAAAATTACTGAAGAAAAGATGGAGCTTCAAAATTAAATGGCAGGGTGGTTATGCTTAAAAGCCATTTCTGTTTTTTCTTTAATTATTTATATGTTATTTGGTTTGCACATTTGCGTATGTGCCCATTTTAAAAATTTGCATATACTTGAAGAAATTGTAAAGTTGTAGGCGTAAAGTCCAGTAACATTTGGCTAATCAATGTTTGATATAATTGAGAGAATTGAGTGGTAGAGTCTTCCAGCATGTATTTGCCATTGACTTCTAACTTGACTGTAAGTATAATAAAAATGAAGTTACTAAACATATCAAATGCTTTAGTTTCTGACTCTTAGATCCATCTAGTAATTCTACACATGAAATATTCTTTGTTATATAAAAATTCTATTAAAACTGCAGTGCTGATTATTTGAAAGGATTTGTCAGATTTTTGAATATGATACTAATTAGGAAAACACTGTAAATAATAACCATGCATAAATTACTTTTTACATTGTTTTCTTAGAAATTGTGTCAGGTTATCTTTTCATTAATTTTAAATTAAGTAAACTAAATACCTATAGAAAATTTGAGTGTTAGAGTTTGCTTTAGGACAAATTTTAAGAAAATGTGGGTATACCAGATGTCCTTTATAAGAAAAAAAAATTTTTTTAAGGGACATGCTACTTTTAGGGATTTTCAAATGAGACGCTTGATGTTTAGGATTACCCATCACAGAGATTCTTACAGAAAGAGATTGTATTAGATATTATATTTATTTCATTTAAGACAATTTTAAAGTTAATTTTCAAAATAAGATATTCTCATTTACATTTGTCTCTTAAAAAGCCAATGAAATATCTTTGTCACTGTAATACTTTTTCTTTAGATGTTTGTTAAGCTTAGCAAATAAAATCGTATTCTATTAATAGCTCCTTGCTTTATGGTTATAGGGTTAATTTAAAAAATCATAATCTGAACTGAGATATGCAAAATAACTATTTTCAAGTTCTGAAAAATGTGTGTGGAATACAGGGGCCTGGGCTGTGCATATGTGTGTGGTGAGAGTGTAATCATTATTACAACTGGAATCTGCTTTGCATTTGTAAGTACTGCATTTTGCATCTTGCAAATCATTTTTTATCTCCTTTTCCCCAGTTATATCTTTGCTTTTGAATGCCAGTATTAAAATGATGGGGATAACATCTCTTAAACTTTAAAATCACTTAATACAGCGATATGGAACATTTAAAATCGATTATTAGACACTGACTACTGCTAAAAGTTACACCTAAGTATAGAGGGACACTTTCATTTCTGAAAAAAATAAAATTTATTATGCTTTATAACGTCTTTTGTACTTCTTTGTATTTTCTAATTTTTTCATTATCTTTGATAAATAAAACGTAAGTTTTGTTTGCTAATTGAGCCTCCTATATTTTATTTTCCTTCATTCATTTTACTCCCCTGTGTAGGATTTTTATTAATGATTAAACTGGTGTTATACCCCTTGAGGTAAAACAAGATCATGGGGTAAAGAAAACAAAATATTTAATTTAGTTGCCTAATTGGGAAATGAATTAAAATCAGACTGTATTCATAACATCTCTATACTCATGCTGGATAGCTTCTCTATCTCCTACTCATTTCCTATACACCTGTACTATTCTTTTAATAAATTTTAAATGAAATTAAGCTTTGATACATGTTAATTTTTAATTCTTAGGAAGCTCAGCTATCAAACATACATTTATTAAAATTTAAATTTTTATAGTATTTGTACTTGGTTTCTGAAGATGAGCATACACTATTGATCCAATATCAGAACTTTGCTTTTTTCCCCTAAATCTGCAAAGTTCACATATACAAATTTACTAAGCTACTGTAAGTAGTGTAATTCAGTGATAGCCTTTAATCTCATCATTCAAGCAGAGGCATCAAAATGTTATTTCCAAAAAACATAGCATTCTCTTCCAGATTTATCCAGTCCGCACCCTGCCTTTCATTTTCTGTAGCTTGAACAGCTGTTTGTTTGGGGATGCTTGACCACCTTTGTAGTCCACCTTAAAGATTGAATATCAGTACTCTTACTTGGCTGTCTAAATGTTTTTGAATGAATGTGACCTGGGACTTGGAAGCTAGTGCAAAAATGTCTTAAATTGCTTTCTGTTATAGTTGAATAAGGTAGTTATGGTTAGGGCAATCTATTTTTATGTAGTTGTACAATAAACTATTTTGAGGCAGAAATGCTTTTCTATATAGTATATTTAGGATAGATTTTAGAAATTTAAAATCAATATAAATCCTATTGCACTAAGTTAAAATGAAAATCTCTGGTTAATAGAAAAATACTAACTTCCAAACTTGACATCTTATATTCCTTTTTAGACATGTCTTAAAGTTGTTCATAAATTTTAACCTGTAAACAATAATCAAGACAAGCATGGTGGTGCATACCTGTAATTCTACCACTTGGGAGGCTGAGGCAGGAGGATTGCTGTGATTTTGAGATCAGGCTGGGTTACATAGTGAGTTCAAGGCTAGCCTGGAATACCCAGCAAGACTGTCTCAAAGAAAGAACAGAAAAATATTTTTTCAGTTAATCCTCATAACTGAAAAAGTGGAGTTCAGAATATTTCATTAGAGAAAAATTCAGGATTTCTTAATATAAGAAGTAAGTATATATACTTACTGAAGATGAGCATGCACTATTGATCCAATATCAGAACTTTGCTTTTTTCCCCTAAATCTGCAAAGTTCACATATACAAATTTACTAAGCTACTGTAATTAGTGTAATTCAATGATAGCAGGCTGAGATCAGGCTGGGTTGATTTATTAAAAATAATAAATCTTTGAGAGAAGAAACTTCCTGCCCTTTGAGAGAAGAAACTACAGTAGAGATGAGATCTATTAATGTTGTCACAGTCTTTCCTGGCCTCTTGCCCTTAGAAGATATTTAGTAATTTTTTTTTGTAAATAGTTTTTGAATGATTCCAGCTTAATGAACGATTCCAATTATAAACAATTTTACATTTTAAAACTGCTAAGAAATGTTATTTTAATTGTTTAGTTATTCAAATATTTAATGAAATATTAGTATATTATTATTAATTTTTAAAACCTCACTCTTGATAAAGTTCAACTGTTAGATGATAATGTTCCATTAATCATTATAGGAACGCCCTTACCCATATATAAGACATGCAGCAGTGTATTTTATTTGTTAATAAAGTTGTATAGATGTGGAAATGTGAACCTGTGGTGCATCCTTTTGAAAAGCACTTTGGGATTCAAAATAGATCATCACCACCTTGGCTTCACTGACATGTTTGTGTGGCAGACTCTTTAAGCTTTGAGGTGTGGCATTAGGTTAGAGTGCAGAACATCATTGAATGTGTCACAGTTGTTAAAAGATAGAGTGCAGGTTTTTTTTTTTTAATAAATCAAAAGCAGTCAACTTACTGAAAATGATTTGTGCTCATTTATTCTTTGCAAAAGATCAGTGGTCTCCACACATCAATCTGATTCTATACTTGTGCTTAATATGATATTAAGTATAAAAACTTCAGGTTATTCAAAAAAAAGAATTATTTCATACTTTTTAAAAGTTAAAAAGCAGATGATTATTTTGAATTCAGCATATTTGTTTGTTTTACTTTTTTGATAATTTTAGCATAGATACCATGCTTTTCAAAATTTTTGTTTTTGTTTTAGGAGGTTGAGCTGTCTGCTTAAAAAAAAACTTACTTTATTGATGACCATTTTTTAAAACTGAACCCATTACGTAGAGAAGAGTCATTATCCCTTAACATCTGAGGTGACAGCAAGACAAAATGACACTTTTTTCCAGAATCTTGTAAGAACCACTTTATTACTGTACCGCTCCTTTTGTGCGTGCTCATTTTAATTAAATCAACACTTTACCTTCAGCGACACAGAAGAGGCATAGTTTATTTTCTCTCAGCTTTACCAAAGTATGACAAGGTCAGCAAGTGAAACAGAAGTTCTCCCAAAGTTCACAAACTGCCTGTACAATATGGAAAGTAGCACATAACCTTATTAGAAAGTACTAACTCTGCAGGTGAGAGAACAATACAGGTGCATAATTCTTTGTGTTTAAATATATATATATTTTCCATCAAGTAGGAGTTTTCAGCCATCTGAATCCTAATGTAGTGATTTGGTTTGGCTTTGTAATGGAACTCATCAGCTTTCCTGTCACTGAGACGTAATACCCGACTCCGTAACGTAATGAAAGAGAGGTCTCATTTAGCTGACAGTTTTAGGGGATTCAGTCCATGGTAGGCTGGCTCCAAGGCAGAAGCATCATGATATAAGATCATAATGGAAGAAAGATGCTTAATTTGTGGCAGCTGGGAAGCTGAGCAAAGGAATAGTGGTGAAGAAGGGACCAAGAGCCATATGCAGTACCAAAGGTCATGACACACACCCAGAGTTGTGCCTTACTAATCCCTTGGCTGCTCTCAAGCCAATCAAGTTGATAGTTAAGTTTAACTCTCCAACAATATATGTGCTTTGGGCCGTACAATTCCAATTATTCTTTCAGAGCGATAACCTAAACATTCTTCATTGCTGCTGAGCACTGGTGACTACTCGCCCTAATAAGTAGTGATGGAATGTGAACTGTCACTTCCAAAGCCCAGATTCCTAAAATGATGTACACACTATGGGAGAATGTCAGACCAGTTCATTGAGAGCTATGAAAATTTAAAGGAAATGTTTAGGTGTATTTAATCAACATCTAGATGTGGCACCACATGCCTGTAATCTCAGTACTTTGCTAGGATGAGAAATTTCAAGCCAGGCCCTGGCAGCTTGGTGAATTAGCAGAAACTTTGCTCAAAAAAATTTTAAAGAGGGTTGGGACTATAGGTCAGTGTGAAGACCATGGGTTTAAAGTTTAATTACCAGTATTAGAAAAGGAAAAAATTAAATACATAGTTTTAAATTTATATTTTGTGCCTATTTTAAAACGTGATTTTTCTTCCATTTAAAAAATTTCTCGATTGACACATGAGTGTTGTGAACTTTTAAAAAGCATCTGAACCATGCATTACTCCAATCCTATGAGAACAAAACAGGATGGGTTCTTGTTTGAATGATCAGGGCCAATGACTGCTACTAGAAGTTTTGGGAAGTTAGCAAGTTCTGGCGCAATAAATCTCCAATGGTAGCACATGTCCTTCCAGAGTCTGAGGTTCTGGAATTTTGGTCTGGTAGTACTGTTAGTTCCTTTCTCATCATTGTATCCTCTTATAGCTAACCCCTCACACTCACATGCTAGAAAATTGAAAGTATTAGGATGTGTGTACATGATTTGTTGCAGAGGAGGGAAAAGACATGTACATTCAGATCTTAAAGGGTTAACAAACATTTCCCCAGTTCCTGCTTTGTGATCTCTGAATGAGGCCCCTCTGGCTTTACTGCCTTTATGCCACAATCCAGCTCTGCAAGGCTGCGTCGCTGGCGCCTTGAAACCATGGAACTGTTCTTGCGGAGATGGCAGCTATTTTCTTCATAATCCTGTAAAGCAAGCGGAATTGGAGCCTGTTTCATATAGGTGATTTTTCTTCCCTTAACAAATACAATTCCTACTGACCAGCTTCTTTCTCTGTCCCTGAGGAGCCTCATGGATTATTGAGAGAGGTACCTTTGTGGAGTGGAAAAATTGGGTTGGGAGCTACTTAACGCTAGACCCAGCTGAAGCCTCAGTGTCCTCATCTGTTTATCAGGAAGCACACAGTAGATACCAGAGATTTATGGGAAGGAAGAAAAAAACCATCATCATAGCATCCTTGCTCTTCATGTTTCCTGCCTAGGCCACCTTACCAGGCATAGCAGCTGCCTCCGGAACCTGAAACAAATTCTGCTTGATGCGCGGCACCGGATCTACAAGCTCCTTGAAAAAGGAGGTTAGAATAGGATCCTGGCAACATGTTATTTGCTTCTGCTATCTTCTCTGTTGCAAGTGGAATAAAAAATGGCCTAGATGACATCTAATTTTAAGTGACACAAATAGAGAATACTTTATCACCAGGCAATAAAACATTCTAGCTTTGACCTGGTATGAACAGAGAAAGCTTACACAAGTCTCTAGGCAGAAGCTCAGAGGTCCCCAAGACCAGGCCTTCAATTTCACTGTGGATTATGGCATTACTTTATAACTAGTGATTCATTTCTTTTGCTTATGAAGCCAGCGCACTGAAATTCTGGTTCGGGGGGCAGTGATCAGGAGATCAGTTGGTAGTCAGGTTCTTTTATGACTAGGATAATTTACTTTCTCCTGTAATCATGGGTTAACCTTGGATTTATTTTGAAAGATGTCTGTTACTTCAAAAGAGAACTAGATGAAAGTTAGATCTCCTGGACACTACCTGGATTATAATTTGGGTCATTTAAAT